TATTCCAGTGGGAGAACACTCAGTTCACAGCTGATAGTTACATGACTGAGGGGTGTGTATTTTGGACTGAATGCAGATACGTCTACAGAAACGTCCTAAAAACTTCTATGATAAAATCATACTTGACACCGAATGGCAAGGCCTAGACCAGCAATCCCCAAGCTTTTTGGCACCAGAGATTGGTTTTGTGGAAGACAGTTTTTCCATGGGTGGGGAATTGGGTAGGGCGGGGTGGAAGTGGTTTCGGGATGATTCAAGCACATTACATTTATTGTGCACTTTATTACATATTCACCGCAATGTAGAATCAGCTGGAGCCTTGAGCTTGTTTTCCTGCAACTAGAGGGTCCCATCTGTAGTGATGGGAGACAGTGACAGATGATCAGGCATTAGATTCTCATAAGGAGTGCGCAGCCCAGATCCCATGAGTACCTGGTTCACAGTAGGGTTCACGCTTCTATGAGAATCCGATGCTGCCACTGATCTGACAGGAGGCAGAGCTCAGCTTCACTCACTCACCTGCCGCCCACCTCCTGCTGTGTGACCTGGTTCCTAACAGGCCATGGACCAGGAGCGGCCCATCGCTTAGGGATTGGGGACCTCTGGCTTAGACTATTTGTCTGTTTTAAACCTGTGGAGGAAAAGTACTTTAGGCATGTTGGAAGAACAGTTTCTTAAAGTCACTCTTTGAGCTGTCACTCTTTAGCAGGATTTAAAATTAGGATAATGTCCTTTCCTTTGCTACTCTTTAATATCTCTAATTCTTATCATAGACACTTCAACAAACAAAAACCCCTTGTCTTAGAACCTTAGCAATGTGTGTTCTGCATTGACATCACCTGCACTTCCAGGCGGAGAATAATACCAATAACTGAAGAACACATGGAAGCCTCTACACAGAGTGGGGTGTGGTTGGAAAAATTTTGGTGGGCAAAGGTTCCTTGGGGTTTTTTGAATCTGCACCCAAAGGCACTCATGGTTCTTTCAAACAACCCTTCTCTGTCAGCATCAGTAGAAGTTTCTGTTCTTCCAGCTTTCGAGGATCTCCTGGGGATCTTGCTCTCTGCAGCTTTCAGTGTGTCCTTTGCACAAGGGTGGGATTGTGACTAAGACTCTCCAGTTCTAATTGAGTAAAGCATCCTGACAAAGACGTCCATTTGGGGTTCCTTTAAGGGGGAAGGGCATACTTCAGCAAAGAATTGCTGTGTATCTACACAGCACCCACTTCCTGCCTTCTGACAGCTGAAGGTCTTAAGGACCTCTTTGTAGCACAGTTCTTTAAAAAGTAAATGAGACATGAAGTCATGTTACAGAAGCAGGTTCCCTGTCCTGCCCAGTAGGGCCAGTGTGCAGATGGGGTCCCCTGTGATGCTGAGATGGGGCCCCTCCCATGACAACTCTCTCAAATCCCCTTTATTTTTATTTACTTATTTATTTTTAAAATGGCATATAGTAATTGTACGTATCTATTGGGTACCTGTGACGTTTTGACACTTGCATACGGTGTGTAATGCTCAAATCAGGGTAGTTAGTATATGCATCACATCAAAGACTTATTTGTGCTGGAAACATTTCAAATCTTCTCACTACTTTGAAATATACAATATATTACCATTAACTCTAGTCACCCTACTGTACTGTTGAGCACTAGAATTTATTCCTTCTTAACCAACCTCCCTTCATCCTCGCCCTACCCTACCGTCATTTACACAAGGTAATCACCGTCCTCAGGTCTCCCTTCTTAGAACGGCACCGGATGGCCGGATGGCTTATGGCCATATCTTATTTTCAGTGTGTTTTGATTTCAAAGTTTGTTACCAAAGCAGTTGCTTCTCAGTGCTGCTGAAACAGGTGATAATAAAAATGAAGCTGAATTGAATTTGAATTTAGTTATCAAATCACTACAGTTGTAACAAAGGCAAGGACCAGCCCAGTGGGCTTGCACTTCTCTGAGCGTTCCCCACAAATATCAGGGCTTCAGTCTTACCCCTCTTACCCTTGCAGGACTGATACAAATGGTAAGTGAAATCATATCCGCAAAGCAGCTAATGCTGTTTTCTTCCTCCTTTGTATAGTAATGATAATAATTTCAGAGTAGCCAATGTTTGGGAAATGAAAGCTGCAGAGTCTTGTGTTTACTAAAAGGGTTTATATTGTACCTGTCCCTCAGAAGGTAGGGTGGGAGAGCCTTTACTGCTGCTGCATAACCCAGAAGCTCATTTACTGAGTTGAAGACAATGAGAACACCATTTTTCATGTATGCACGTGTGTATGTGTGTGTGTGTGTGTGTGTGTGTGTGTGTGTGTGTGTGTGTGTATCTGTCTGCCATTCCTTTCAAGTTCTTCCTCATGGATGAGGCACCCTCTAAACCCCACATTGGCTGGCTGAGACTTCGCTTTGATTCGAGGCCTCTTTTAGTCATAGGTAGTAAGGGGACTTTGGTTTCTACCATAGAGGTTTTCTTCGTGTACATGGATTTCTGGCCTGTCTGGGGTACAAGACTGAGGTGGGAGGAAGAGTTCCCTGACACCTATCAGATGACAGCTGATGGTTACAGTCCTTACTCACCTGAAGGCCAATAAGGAAGGAGGTCCCTGTTCCCCTGTCAGGGGACTGAACAAACACAGGGTTTATAATAACAATTACAATAATAGTAGCAGCAACTAACATTTATTGACTACTTTGCCAGACACGGTATTTTTTCCATTTAATCCTGACCGTAACCCTATGGGATGGAGACCATGATTATCCCCAGGAAGCCAAAGCCCAGTAATATGCACGATGTCAAACAACAGTGTATATGTACACATATATACTGGAGATGTTCACTTTCCTTTCCTAATAAAACCTTCAGGAACACTCCATGAGCCCTGCCTTTCCTCTCCAGCTGAATACTCAGGTCCATTTATAAGTTTCCTCCATGAGCCTCATGAGTTGGGGGTCTGTGGAGAGCATCATTTGACATGTATGGCATTGTGTGGACACATTTCTATGTGTCTTTTTTCCCCCATATTAAAGACTAAAACCCCAGTGGCCAGGGACCTTGAAGTTCTTTCGAGCTGTCCTGTATGTGACTCAGAGTGTGTCTCCTGAGTGGTCTGGGGCAAGTCTGGGGATGGCATCTGCTTAGACAGTATCGCCAGGGAGGCTGCCTCTGGGATGACTGCCAAGCACACACTCCTGTTCTCAGGAAGGCTGGTTGCCCAGCTGCTCTGCTCAGGAGAGATTTTATACAGCAACTAAAACAAGCCTAGAGATGACACTGGACCCAGACACTCAGCAAGCAGCAGGGGTGGGAGTTAGCAGTCTGATGGTGGAGAAAACCAAAACAACCTAAGGGGTGAATCCCATTCTAAGGGAGCAGCAATCTGGGGCCAGCTGGCAGGGGAGTGAGCAGTCCCTGCGGCTTCCACAGGCCTGAAGACTTCATTGTATGGCAGGGTTTCTTTTGTCTGTCGCTCTGTCGCTCAGGCTGGAGTGCAGTGTTGTGATCTCAACTTGCAGCAATCTCTGCCTCCCATGTTCAAGCCATTCTCCTACCTCAGCCTCCCAAATAACTGGGACTACAAGTGCCCGCCACCATGCCCAGCTTACTTTTGTATTTTAAGTAGAGACAGGGTTTCACCATGTTTGGCAGGGTGGCCTAAAATTCCTGACCTCAGGTGATCCACCCACCTTGGCCTCCCAAAGTGCTGAAATTACAGGTGTGTGCCACTGCGCCCAGCAGGCAGCATTTTTTAGTTTTCCAAATACACACAGGCATGTGCACATAGACATCATGTGTATGTGCCAGAAATGATTTCATCGCTTTATTACTATTCACTCGTTTAATCTTCAGCAATTCTGTGAAGTAGATACTGTTGTTCTCTTCATTTTACAGATGAAGAAACTGAGATGCAGAGAGGTAATTTTATCAGGATACCAGAGCTACACGTCACAGAGCCAAGATTAGCGCCCAGCGGCATGCCATAAAATAACCCATTTTGATAATGCTTAAATATTAGGAAAATGTAAAATATTTCTGTCATGCAAAATTATTATTTTTAAGTATTGTTATGTTTAGAAATAGGTTTCAGTTAGTTAGAGAATTCTGCTTTTAAAAGAACATCCCCCCCCCAAAAAATGAAACATGTAGTGTGTGTTTTAAAAGAAAAAGTTGAAGAATACAAATAGTAATACCTGACTTTTTACAAAACCCTTATCTACGACATCAGGACACAGGTAGGGCAGGAGCTTTTGTTGTTTACTGTCTGCGATTGGTTACAGACCCAGAGAGTCAAGTGTTTTGGCCAACACAAGCCGGCTTGGTTAAATGTGAGTCATTCAAGCCCAGGCCCAGTCACGCCTTCACTGAGTTTATGACCCGAGGAGAGAGGATAAAATGTGTTCACAAGTAACCGTTGTACGTAGTCCTTAGAGTTTCACATTGCCTGTTTTGTTAGCAAATGAATCAGAAGCATCTTTGCCTTTCTTGTGCACCCCACACATACCAAGCGTAGACCCGTTATGCATCTTTAAAGGATTCTCGTTTGTTGTTTTTTTTTTGTAATTCATTTTAGAGCGAATTAAAGTCGGGCATCCTTGGATTGTGCACTGTCCCTCTGTAAATGTTGAGTTTCAGGCCCGGGGATGTAGCTGTAGATCGTGGCTTGTTCATTCTTCCTGATGAGAAATTAATCTCCTGAATGGATTGGCCATTTGGTAATTTCTTAGTGAAAAGCTGACTCTTGAATATGCCTATTATAATATAAATTCTTACCAACATGAAGTAAGGGCTTATTTGGGGCTGGGTAGAACTCTCATGCGTTGAGGTATCGGTAGCTTATTAAACTGGTTAACTTGTATTTATGACGTAGCTACCCTGTGCCAGCTATCACTGGCAAAGGCTGGATTCTACTGCAAGGAGACATATACTGAGAGAAAATTGATTACAGGTAACTATTTCAGGCTCTGCTTTGAATTTCTCATTCACATGCTCTTTTTTCTTTCTCCTTCCAAGGGTCGGGATTACTGTTCGGAAGAAGAGGATGTCACATAGCACCAATTTTACCACTCAAACCAGGAGCTACTACTGTGTAAATAGGTTACACCCCAGTTGAAATCTTTGCAAAGGTCGGTTCTATTCAGCGAACAGCACTATAGCAAAAGAAGATCGTTCCATATCGTACGCCCCATTAAATTACAGTGTTTCTTAATGAACTTGCAAAGGAATATTGCTAAAAACAAACAAACAAAAAAAAACTGTTATCGAACTTTCTTTGTTGCTGCTAGTTAAAACTTGTTGCAACTTTTCACTTCTCTTGTGTCCAGGTATGCAGCAAAATTCTGCAATTTCACCTTAAAGATACTGTTGGTTTTACAGATGCTCTCCAACCTATTTTCTATAAGACGAGGTAGTGGTGAACTCAGATATCAAACTTCTATTCTAAACTGGTTCTGCTTCTAAGACAAGCATCTCCTGCCCTCTCTCCTTCCTCCCCATCTCTCACACGCAGTCTAGAGATGGACTGAGCCTTGCTTCTTGCTGGCAGTGTTAAGCTTTGGAGTTGGGATGGTTGCTATGGCAAGCCTTGTTCCTCTGCTCAGAAGAAGTGGAGAAACTATTATCAATTAGAAGCATGGTGTGATGTGACTCCTGGAAGTGATGTAGGGGTGAGTGGCAGGTTGTTTGATTTCATAGGTATCTTAGTCAAGGATTGAGCTTGCAGCATTGGCTTTGCTCAGATGCAGATGGAAGTGTGATCACAATCATTTTCAATCCCTCTTCCTCACTTTTTTTTCTAAGAAAATAAACATTTTACTGTTTTTATGGATCCTTGTCTTCTCCCATTCATCCAGCTCAGTGTTTTAAGATGATCCTGGGTGCACAAGTTGAGCCCTCCTTTGCATTGACAGTGATAATTAGCCTAAAGGGCTCCCTACCCTTCCATTAATAACCTACCAAGCATTAGCAAGGATGTAAGGGGCCTGAAGAGGTAAGGGGAGATCCTATGACTTTTTAGGAGGGCCTGAAACCTTCTTGTTACCTTTCATTTTGTTAGCAAATAAACCATCCTATTTCATAACTCTCTCCCTTCAAAATGCTACATGAGCCTTGCCACTTCCTTTTTCTCTTATTTCCAGCACACTAGATACAGGAAAAGTGTTTGCCTACTCAAAAACATAAGACTTTTATGCTAATGATGATATTTGGAGATGCGAAAGCCAGAAGCCCCTGGCCGTGGTGGGGAATGTTGACCGAGTGTTCAGCAGAGTTTATTTTTCCATACTATATGAAGAGAATGATCTCTTCTCAAAGACAGAAGTGATATTTTTAACAAATATTGTCACAAGTAAATAGCAATCAAAAGGAGAAAATAACTTTTGTATTTTTTTAATGTGTTTGATAGCTTTGACGAGGGTTCTCTTTGTTACTTTCAGGGGAGGGCATCTTATTAAATGCCACGCCAGCAGTCCGGGTTTGGGTTTGGCCCACACAAACACAGGAGCCTGTATGTTTCTCTTTTGGGGTTGTGATTTTGAAGGGCCTTGATATTAGCCACACTGCCACCCACAAAAGGTGGAGAATTAAGCTGTTCTGTGTCAGTTTGCTCTTGCCGAAAAGATGAGCCTTGACTTTAAAATCAATCCACACAACTGATGACACCATCGATGTGCGAATAGTGAGATTCCCTATCTCCTTTTAGACCTGGGGTGGCAAAAGGGAAGGGAAGGAAACTTAGAACTGAGTGCTATGGACAATAGATTCACATATTAGCAACAAAATCCCTTAATTCTTTTGGCCAACAGCAGCTATTTTGGGGAGCAGCTGTGGCTGTTACATAAATAGAGATGCAGCCAAACTTTTAGGCTTTTTATTCGGCTTCTAGCAGGAAAAGTGCAGGGAGAGTCAAGTAGTCTAGGGTTTCAGGTTCCCTCCCCTCGTATGGTTTTTGGCCAAGTGACTAAAATAGTTTTCCACAACTGTAAACGAACTGCTAAGCCCCACCTCAAACTTGTTCACTGGGGACTTTGTTCCCTGTTCTGTGGATGACCTTTTCCGAGATTTCTTGTTCTTATTAAGCAAGATGAAGCACATGCTAAACGCCTTCCATTTGATTTCTCCACTGGGTGTCTCAGACAGTGTCTTCCCAGAAAACCACCACCCTCTACCCAAACATGAAACATGCTCATGTCATTTTTCTCATGGTCACGTTGAACCCTTTTGACATGTTACACACGTGCATAGATCCAAGCGTTTCTTGGGAACCTGACTTTTGAGTGTTTAATAAAACCGGAAATGGTGTTGACCTGAACCAACAGCTTTTCACCCAGGTTCTGGCTCTGGTGTTTCACACTGGATACATCTTTGATGTGCAAAAGTGAGTTCATCTCCAGACACATTTGATACATCCAGAAACAGATCCATGAAATGGGGTGGTTGAGTAGGTCCGCATGAAATGCTTGATTGTGTCAGCAACACCCAACAGTGTCTGTTTTCCATTTGTTGGTTTTCATCATGTTTATACTTTATTTTCTTTATGCCTTCTGAAAGGATCTAAAGCGAAATATTTTGCCTTTCTTTTCCCCTATGTGTATCTGAACATTAAGTAGATTGGCTCAGTCACAATGAAAAGAATAATCCAGTGTATGTGTTGGTGCATTCTGCTAGCTGTTATCTCGGTAGGGCCCAGGAAGCTGGAAGGAGGAAGGGAGGAGAAGTGGCCTGGTGAGTAGGGGTAGAAAAACGACAAGGAATGAACTGAGAGCATTAAGCAGAGAGGGTTGATAGGCTGGCCACGTGCAGGTGAAATTGGAAATCCAGCTGCCTAGCGGCCAGTGGGTGGGGCAAGACTGTCAAGGAGATTTACAGCTGGCTCACACACGCCTTACGCCTCTGAGTTGTAGAGTTGTAAAAGTTCAGCAGTGTGTGCACAGCTTTCTTTTGGTTGGCAGAGATTCAGGATCATGGAGTACTGCTCTCATAATTGAAGACATGTTTGTTACTGGCAGAGAAGCTTAAAAAAGGCCTTTACCTCAGCAATGCTTCCTAGCCCCAGGCTTGCAGAGAACACAAATTGGTGTTGTGGTCTATTTAGGGACAAAGAAGGTATAAAGTCCAGAGATGAAAAAACTAGATCAGCCCTCAGCAACTCCAGCAGCCACGCAGTCCTCTGGGAGACAGGTCTCTCTCTGTCCGCAGTCCCCATGATCTGAGCCTCAGCTGGGATGACTCAACTTGGGCCCAGGAGGAGAGCTGGTTCTTCAGTCTTTGCACTGGCCCCGTCCTCATCCCCATCACTGTAAGGCGAGGAAGTACGTCTGTGTCAGGGCTCACCTGGGCATCTGAAGTGGCCACGCCCCCCAGGAGCAGGCCCAGGATGACGCAGCCCCCTTCTTGGTCCCATGTGATGTTATCCTGCTCTGTTATCCTTTTATAACTTTATCCTGCTATAACGTTATCCTCTTCCCAGCCTCATCCCTGTTTTTCTCTTAGAGCAAGACTCTCCCATAAGCCTGCTAAAAAAGAGATGATACCTCTTATGAACTTTACCTCATAGCCTGTGACACAGGTTGGCATGTGGATTACAAGTCCTGCTTTGACGCTGGGCAAGAATTTAAAAGTGTTCTATCTCTACTAGTCATAGAAAAGAAACATGGTTAAACATGTCGAGTTTTGAAGGAAGAAATATTTTCAAATTCTTAATCCAAGAAAATACTGAGTTGGAATCTTAGACTTCAGGACTCTGATACGTTCTTTATGAAAAGCAAAATAATTGGTACCTAAAGTTCTCTCCTTCCTGCCTCCCCTAAAAGAAAAAGGATATTAGATGGCACACTATAATTTTACGTAAGACCACTCTTCCCCACTTCCCCACTGGAAGGCATTCTCAGAGCTTTATGTCTTACTACCTCTCAGAGATTGGACTTTTTGTCAAAACCCCAGCCAACAATATAATAAGGCGTGGTTGGTGGGGACGGAATATGTATTTAAGGGCATAAGAAAAAGGTGGCTTAAAGCAGGAACTTTGGTTCCCCAGTGTCACGGGTGGATGCCTGGACTCCAGTGTGCCTGGGAGAAGCTGGGCGAGGCAGTTGGCTATCACACTACACACGTGCCTGCAATAAACCTTTTGGAATTCCATGAATGAGGTCTATGAGTTGCCTTTTGCCAACGAATGGATGTGTTTTTCCAAGGGGAGAATAGTATCCTTAACTTCAGCAGTCACCTTTTTGTATGTCTCTGGAAAGGGGTCAAAAAGCTAGGGTACAAAGTGAGGCTTGTGGGTGAGTACCTCTATGCCAAACCGTAGAACTCACAAGCTGTGCCATGTTTTCCAGGAGACTCTTGTACCTTATCTGGAATCTAATCTAATCTTGGGAGAAGAGGAAAAAGGAGCTGATACTTGTCATTGATACCCACTCTGGGCCAGATACTGTGCTAGGCATTGTATAATCGTTTTGTGTCATCCTCATGATAATCCTGTGACGTGGATCTATTACCCACATGTTCTAAATAATAGATCTTAAGTGTGTAATGCATCTATCCAACATAAATGCCCAAGTTGAAAGAAGGAAAGATGCCATTCAAGTATTTTCCAAATTCTTTTTATTTTGACTATGTCCTTTGCAACACTGTGAAAACAACCCCTGGGGGCATCTGCCTTCCAGAATCTCTCTCTTGCTCCTCGCCAGCTTGGTTTCTTCACGGGGAGTGTTTTATTTGGCCTCCCCATCTGAGCTGCACACACACCAGGAGAGGCCACTGGCTAACAGGAGGACTTCAGTGCCCGGGGAAAAGGCTTCGGGAATTTAGGCACACATCTCTCTCCTTGGAATCCTTCTAGAATCTGGAAAAGGAACAGGTATTTCTGCAGCTAGATACCAGATGCAACCAGAACAGGCTTTTGAGGGCTGTGATTTCTTTCCTGGGTTCCCAAGGCTTGATGTTTCATCACAGGTTGTATCTTTCTAAGGTTAAAAGCCTTAACCTTCATGGAGGTCTAGGGGAGCTCTAGCCATGGAGGAAAGCCAACGCCTGTACCACTAACTTGTATTGAAATCCTTTCTTGTGGGCTAGGGCTTGATGTCTCTTTTAGATCTTTGGACTGGAGATCTGTATCTTCCAGGTCAGTTTAAACACTGAAACAAGATGTGAATCTCTTTCAAGAGCTTACATGTTTTAAATAGCCATATAATGACTTGGATAGACACTTAGAGAACTTGTTCCAAGGTCAGAAGACCCCCCCCTCCCGCCAAGAACTCACCAGAGTTCCTCTTCTTGCTTCTTAAATCACACTCTCTAAAGACAACTCATGTTTCCATAGCAACTGTTAAAGGTGCTGCCTAGAGGGGACCTGCCCCCACCCTTACTTAGCTTGAAAGAACCAAAAGAATCTCCTTGTGTAACGGGCCTGTCGTGTCCAGTTTTCCTTTGAAATCTGTCCTCCAAGAGCCTGCTTCGTTCTAACCTGGCAGCTGTCTCGTCCCTTCAAGATGATGTGGGAAATGGCCCTTGTAACTTGGGAACCACAGAAATTGCTATATTTCTGGAAGATTCACCTGTAAACTGAAGGCTCCATTCTGATAGAGTTTGCCCTCTCTACCCTGATTTCGCCCTTCTTTCCTTCCCAGGAGTTATTTTTAGCCCAAGTCTTTGAACGTGATTGAGTAAGACTTAGAGGCAGTATAAAGAACACCATAAACTCAGGCAGAGGCCCCTTAGGGTCTCTGTTTTCTCTATTTTCAACTCTTGGGGTTGAAAATAGTTCTAGAGCCTTAGTGGGGGGGCCTCTTGGCATTGACACCAAAGGCAGAGAGTACCCCCTGGTGTGTCTCGGCATTTCAGTCCAGACCTTCAGGGACTGTTCTCTCTTGATAGGCAAGCAAATCGATTTCAAGCCAGTTTTTCCATTGTAAGCAAGATGCAAATTCATAAAATTATCCTTCTCTTTTTCTGGAGTAGATCCAGGCAGCTGCCTTGTTAGGACTTTAGATTCAGATCCATTTTATTAACACACATGCACAGATACATGCATACATACTTACACAGAGAGATACATGGAGAAAGAAAATTTATCATTGGAATACTTCAAGAAAACGCTGTATTTTGCTTTTCTGTAATCTCCAAGATAATGTCTAGGAAAGTGTTAATGTAACTCCAGAGATACCAAAACAGGAAAAACTAGCAATCACTTTTGAGAAAGTTTGAGTTCGACTCACATGGGAGAATCAAGGTCTACTAGGTTCTCACCTTGTGCCCCGTCTGTGCCCGGATGCCCTACTCCATCTGCTTGACTCACCTGGGCCGCTGGCCGGGCTATTGTGGCTGACATCCTTTCCTGGCCTTACATGCATAATGGA